CCGTCTCTCACACGACCAGGAGCACATCAGGGCTAACAAGCTTCTTTTTTCTCTCTCCTGGCGTTTTTCTCGGCTCTGCATCTGTCTCACTCTGTCCTACCTCATCCCCGCTGTGCCCTACTCCCACTCAGTTTTGCCACAGATGATTGAAGATATGCTCTTTCATATCAAAGTTGGACGCCTTGTTGTCCACTGTGTCTGCGAAAAGCCGACTTGTACATACTTTTCCAGAATGTGTTTTTGAGGCTCAGCAAAGCTCATCGTCATATTGATTTGAGAAATAATAAGTTGAAATATTCTGCAGTATAATAACTAAATAGGCCACTAATAAATGAACACAGGCTGAACACAGTTACCTGCTTTTATCAGTGAATAGACCATGCAAACCATGAGGTCACATATCTCTTATGGAATCTTATATTTTTCATTTAGCAGAAAATTAATTACACCTCAAAATACAAACAGCAGATTGTTTTGAATCTCGGTCTTGAATCTCATTCTTTGACAGCATCCTCTACATATACTGCACTTTATTTTTCCAGTTTCATGTCCTTCCAAACTTGCTTGCTCTGAATTTCTTGTTGTATTCTCACACAGGTATTTTCCAAACTTTTTACTAGGGAGCTGGAAAATGTCTGGTGCAACTGTCTCAGACATTTACCTTCTCCCATACATTTGAGGAAAATGTCTTTACTGCAGTCTAATGTCTGAATGCAGCTTTCATGTTGAGTAAAAAACTAAATGTTTTGCACGATACAGTGGTTAATTGAGCTTGTGTCATAGGCGAATAAAATAAGTACGATAGAAATTAAATGAAGACAGTGGTCATGTGTCAAGCAATAAAAAAAAAAATCATGGTGTGTGCTGGAAGAGGAAGAACGCTGTTCACTGAAAATTACTGAATAGCATAGTTAATGTCTTTGTCTTTCCTCCTCCTGTTCTGCCTCACTCTGTTCCTCCCTTCCCTCGTCCATCATATAATTTTCTTGTTGTGGTTGGGCCTGCTGTGAGAATGTCGGGTTAGAATTTCACATTAGTTGGAACACACTGAAAAAAAAACATTGTTTACACTGAGTGGTTGGTGGTCTGGATGGCAGATTTTTTTCACTTTCCTCAACAGAAAAAAGAAGAAGATAAATTTGGTTCTTGCTTATTCAATTCTTAATATAATGTAAATCTCCCCAGTATTCATCTGGAAAAAAAAATTATATATTCATACGTTTTAAAGTTTAACAGTATGATTATATGACTGTCACTTCGCAGTTCACAGCAGTGAGATGACTCCTTACTGGTAAAACATAATATTTTAGGAACACTCCTTGTTGTGCATTCACATATTTAGGCTACATGATTCTCTACTACATTCCAAACACAAGTTAATCCTGTTGTATACAGCAGCTGTCTTAAAACAAATCTCTATACTAGTCTCTGACAGGCATCTATGAATAGTTGGGGGATTTAGGCTTTAGCTGCTGCTGCCAAAATCCCAGCCAGTCAGGCCAGCCACCATATTCTCATAGGCAGACTGGTACCTTGAGTTTCCACTGCTGTTAGAGTCAGCCAAATCTTTTCAGTCAAAAATTCCTTCCTGTGATGACAACAGGACCTTTGGGGGGCGATGACAGAAACGTCGCAGTGGGGTTGTGGAAACAGTGATTCAGGGAGATTAACGGTTAATATGATGAAGGTTGTAGTCAATCTGTTTTTTGGACTGTTTCAATCACTAGGACCAGGCTTTGTTTCTGATCGGTCGCATTTTATTGGAACTGTGTGTAAGATTGACTTTGCCCCGCTGACTCCACTTGATTGAGTTAGCTTCCTTAATTGTGCTCTTCCTCTGCGTGCGTTAATCTAACATGGCAGTCTTAATTGATCTCGTTAATGTGGGACATGGAAGGCAAAAGAACGTCAGGGACCTCAGATGCCTCCTGGTTAATTTGACACGTCGAGAGTCAGAAACAATAGCGAGTGAGGGAGAGGAGTGAGGGTGCCAGCCCCAATCTAACAAAACACAAGGCTGAAGTGAAAAGAGTCACGACAGGAGGCAGGAAAGCTGGCTGGGTGGACAACTTGCAAGTCCCCCATGACAGTAAAATCACATAACCAAATTTCAAAACTACATTTTCAACCCATTAGTCTACTTGTTAAGGATTTGCATAGGTACAGCATATACTGTGATTATAATGTATGTGATTAATTTTTTTTCAGTTACATTTCTCTGGTTGGGGTATTTAAAAAGTGCTGTTTTCTTATCTTTTGAAATTATGTTATTGCCCTGTCAAAAAGCTAGTGTGGTAACACTGTCACCACTTTTGGTTACACTGAATTGTACATTGTAGGTTGCCTAAATTTAAGGCAGCTTACTGTGTACCATTCAGTGTTTGGGCCCTAAAATCCTTATAGTGGTTTTCATGAAAACAGCCAAAAATCTGAGTAAGGTGTTTATGCAGCCTAACCAGAGATAGACCTTTATGAAAGCTGTGACATTAGTTGGCTTTCAAAAGTTGTTTTCCTTTAGTGAGTTTATCAGGTCAAAAATGGAAAGCAAAAAAAATCCCCAGGACTAGACATTTTTATAGTGTTTGCCTCTGCTGCCTCCAGCAGTGGTTGCTTTTAAAGCCGTATTATTTGTAAACCCTTTTCATATCCGAATTGATTTAAACTTGTTTGAAACAAGCTTTTAATGTAAATTTCAGGAAATAATTTCCCTAAAATAGCCGATACAATCCCAAGAGAGAAAGCACTGTGCAAACACTTATTTTCCTGATCTTCAAAGCTCACTCGAAGGCCAGTGAACGCCCGGAAAGAAAAGCTGAACTTATCTAAAATAAACATCTACAGTAGTTGCACAATTCTTGCCTGCTCATGTGCACATTTACATTCTTATTACATGCACATGAAAGCGCACAATACAAACAAGCAGTTCTGGTGTCTCATTAGCGTTATTAACCTTTAGTGAATGGTATTGACAACATCAGGAGAGCCACAGCTCTTCTCCAGTGTGGCTACATCCACAATGACGTGTTTGAGTTTTAAAAGTCATCACTTTTGTTATGTTTAAGCATGGCCTGCCAACTACTACAGAGAATTTTGGAAACACTTCTGGCCCTATTTTAGTTTGAAAACTTGGAGGCTGCCTGGTAGTTTGTACAGACAGACACTGAGACATTTGGAAACAATGACGCGGTCGCCAACATTCGCTTCCTGACTGGGCCTTATCAGTCACAACTCAACTACCAGCTGTAGATGCTAAGACTTAATGACATTCTCTGGCTTGACTTTTCACCATTGCTGTTCTTATTGTTAAGATTTTCTGCAACTATTGAAGCAACTGAAAATAGATAACGCTTGTGCGCATGACCAGTGTATGTGAATGGTCATGTGATCTGTGTATTCTGATGTGTCAGAATGCGCAGAGTTTGATTCTGACACAAAGCTAAAAGCTCGACTGGATGTTTTAGTTTTAAAAAGCTGTTTGAAGACTAAAACTCAGTTTGGATGTTGCCAGTACCGGGTCATTTTTAAATTTATTTGAGGCCACAGAAAAGACAGACACATTTGGAGACATATGTCCACTGTGAAGTGTTTGTGTCCCTATCCTTGTGTGGAACTTGAGTGTATGTCTGTTTGTGTTTGAGTGCATTTACAGTATTCATTTAAATAAGACATTACAAATGGGCAACAAATAGTGGCAGAATCCTAAATTCATAAACTCACTATAATTTGGATTAATAATTTTTAGTTATTGGGAGATTGCTTGTTATTGTATCAAACCATTAGCTATTTGCATCACACACACACACACAACCCTAACCCTACCCTCACTGACATATTGCATTCCTTACTCCCATAATTGTCACTTGTAACTAAAAACCTAAAACCAACCATCACACAAAAGCACACGCACGCAGGTATGTTGTCCTCTGCCTGTTTTTGGTTCATTAAAAATACTTGTCTTAACCTAACTTCTAAACTGAATCTAACCTCCGACACAAAAAACATTATTTTCCCTATTGAGGATGTGGCTTCTCAAATGGACAAGCCATCCCAAAGTGACTGATTAGTATGAAATAGTGTAAAATTTATACTCAAAGATGACAGAAACACACTCACGCCCACATGCACATTGCGAAACATCACAGAAAATGTGTGCAAATATCTCCAAACCCTAATTTTGAATGTTGAATTCATGCAAACACCTCACCTGTGTTTCCTTGAGGATGACACACTGTTGCTGTTATACAAGCATTGTATCCTGTGTAAATTGGTGTTAATTGTTCGGCTATGCAACCACATTATGTGATTTAGTGTGCACTGGCAATGATCCCAGAGCATCTGTCAGAATCCGAGTTCTTGCCACATACATGAGTTGAGAGCAGACTCTAAAATCCTAAGCTAATTGTGTGTTTGAAAATCATTTTTTCATCATACTTTTCTAAAACATTTGTGTAAATTATTCATTCAGGTAACATTTCATATTATGGTACTGTCTGTTTTAAATGGGTTCATAAGCCTCGGTACTGCTGGTGAAGTATCATATGCAATTAGCTTGCTTCAAGGCTACATGCCAGAACATGCGTTTATATAGCTTCATGGTGTACACCCACACCCAACACATTTACCTCTGTGTGGTCTGTGTTTTCTTAGTACACATAGAATGAAGTGGAAGTGACTAAATGCCGACTTAACCAGAAATTCCAAGGAAGAATCTTTGGAAGAATGCCAACGAAAAACAGAGTAGCATTGTCTCTACTTCATTCAGATTGATACTGCTGCCTGACGTAGTTGTGCCATGCTGCAACTTGAGAATGACTCAGAGAAAGAGTGTCAAATCCACAGGCGTGACGTGGGATCCAGTTTAGCTGTAACAGGACACCATGGCAGCAACCAGCACTCAATAGTTAGCTGCTGAACAACAACAACGACGGACATTAATCTCGTTGATTAGGGTCATTATTGATTTTCTTTTCCATTGGATAATGGTCATTTTTGTTTCTTAGAGGTGTAAAGGATCAAGCTCCTGACACCATGGATATGGATACACAGCCACAAGGACAGCAAGCAGCAGTGCCAGTGTTCCAACCCCAGGTAACCCCACACACAGACACACAAGATGAGACAAACTAGCCCTGTGAAAAAGGATGACAAATAAAGTAAAATTTATATATTTAAGATTCTAGTTGACGCAATACTCAATACCTATCTTGATTTTGATATAAAACTAGAAATACTACAGTAAAATATTTTACCTGTATTGAATATCTTGGTTAATAAGGGTTTATTTTATACAGTGTGATTTTGTAAATATTTACTAAGGATATTGTGGAATTAATCATTTTTCTTGTAGATTAATTTATGAGGGAAAGTGTTCAATAATTTATGATCATATCCCTTCATCCATTCATTGCCAGGATACTATCCCACCTCCTTCACATTTTGAACTCTAAATACCCCCCCCCTTCTGCCTGCGTCAATCAAGATGTGCCTTACAGTCCAAACATCCTTCAGACCACGGTAGCCTGTGTGTGAGACAGACAGCAGTGGATGAATGATGAGTTGTTTTATTGATCAGAGCTGTGAAGCCTGGCAGAGCCTGGCCTCCCTACATGCCTCTCTTGGTTCAATACAGCTCAGGTTTGTGTGCAGCTCTGGTCATTGTTGGATTTTAATACCGCCCTCCAACATCAGGCCCATTGATTTCTTTCCAGAAGGATGTTTTTGCCTCCATAACTATTGAATAGACTTTAAACAAAGAGGATCATCCATATGCCCCAGAGTAATTTTTTTTGAGAAAGAAACAACACTAAAAATAGGCCGGTACTCTCAGTAGTTGTTTTTCTTGCGTATGCAAGGGCGCTGCAACATTAACACTGGAATTGCCAAGGGGGTTAATTTATTCTAAGATTTGTAATTGCAGAATTAAGGATAATTGGGTTGTGCACAGAAGAAAGTCAGATAAAAGCTCTAATGATTAATTTGACTCAGGCAACAGCCCCCCATGCTTACATACAGGCACTAGATCTTCTGCTGATCTCCCAACAGTTGATTATGTATTATTGTTCAGGCTTAATGATTTCTCTCTTGTCTCTGTTTTTCCATTCTATTTCTAGCAGTTTACATCAGTTTTATTTCCAGGCCTACTTTTTATTGAATGCACAGTGAACTTTCTGTGTGGCATCCTGTTTTTTCACTCTGACAGAACACGTCTGAACTGATTTCCCATTTAGTGGGAGCTGGAGAGAGAGTCAGTAAGTATATGTAGATGGCTGTCTAGCCAGAAACCAGATGGGTGCCTTTCAACAAGTCCTCTATCTTTTTCACACTTTCCAAAGGTTCAGTCTGTTTTGCAGTGCAGGAGAAAAAATCCGCCAGCCTCCTGAAGATTACTGAATTGTATGTGCAATAAAGGATATTCTGTATTGCTTGCAATATCATTTGTCTTGGTCCCGAAGGTATGATGCATATGCATAAGGTAAACGAGATGAGCTGGAAAGGTGTGCATTTTTAATGGAGCATTTGCTCTTTGAGTGAGTGGGAGGGTTGGCGAGGAGGCCCCCCTTAGATCTGATTTTGATCGTCACTGCAGAGTTTGACAGACACAGATCTGTCTGTAAGCGCTGGGACAAGGCGGAGCAGTTGTGGAGCAGATTGAGAGGAGAGGAACGAGAAGCACCTTTGGGGTGAATCCTGCCGGTTTAACTGCCTGGCTGGCTCCCTGGCTGAGGATGAATATTGCATGGTGCTGTGCTCAAGGGGCCTGGTGACTGCAGAGGGTGGGAGAGAGCCCCCCTGCTTGCCAGTTGCTGTTTCTGCCTGTCCTTGTATCCCTCCCTGTCTGTCTTGGAGACTACATCCACACTAGATCACACAGAGGTCCCTGTCCATACTAAAACATTAAGAAAATTAAAGACACAGTTCCTATTGGATGACACTATGCCTTCTTTCACATGGCACAGGTGCAAGCAGGAAATTTGCACAAAGGAAATAAGGAGGAGTGTGAATGGGACACAAGGGGGTAATTCCAAACATGAGAAGGACTCTGCCCAACCGAGACAAAATGAGGATCTCTTACGTAATGACAGGTACCAGAAAGCTTGGCAAATAATGTCTCAGACCAGTCATCACAAGTCTCAATCACCACAAACCTCTTTCATAACTACACAAAAATCATGTCAAACTGCACAGAGAGAGTCAACAAAAGTACATTTGTGGATTCTTCTAGTGTCTCATCTTGAGTTAAAGATTTACCATGGTGGATATTACAATGGCCACTCCAGATCTGTGCGAATTTACAACAATGATAAGAAATTATATGTATCGTTGTCTGGATTAAGATATTGCCTCAATCAGGATATGAGATTATCAGCAGCTCTACATCAGGTCAATGTCAACACATGTACTGCATGATTGGGTATATTAACATTTGAATCAGTGATCCTGGAGGCCAAGGGAAGAGGGCACCAATGATAAAACACACAACAACCCCCATTCATGTCTGGTCTGGGATCATTTTCACTCCCGATCATGTGTTCTCTTTTTTCCATTTATGTATGATTGGATATCAAATTTTCTCCAATCACACCAAAGAATGTGACCACAGGGTTCGGATTTATTCCACCAGGCATTTTTAATGCTCAGTGTGCCAAGATCTAGAGATGTTTTTTTATTTATTTTTTTTCAAGTTTAGCCAGCTCAGTGTGGACGTGCCCTGAGTTTCTCTCTCCCTCTCTGTTTCTGCATCCCCCCTCTGTTTCTCTCCATGGGAGACAGCACCTCTCTGCCGCCGCTGGCCTTTCTGTGGCAGCCGTTGGCACTGCTGGGCTGTCACATCACACCCTCTTCCCTCTGCTGCTTGTCTTCCCCCCTCTCACCCTCTTTCCCTCTCCCTGTCTTCTGCATTCCCTTTTCCACTCACCATGTGTCTTGTCAGCTGTTTGGCAATGGTGTCATTATCGGGCAGCCTGTATCACACTTCCTCCGACGAGCTGTCTGTCTGCTCTCCCTGTCTCTCGCTCTCCGTTTCTCTCCCCCTCTCTCTTTCTTTCTCTCTCTTTCAATCCCCCTGCTAGTGAATTGCCCATGGCGGTTGTGTGTCACCTTTATACCCAAGACATGTTGTCCCTTAAAGACCTTTCCCATAATTCCTTGCACGGCTGCCACCTAATTTCCATCCCCTGCAGCTTGTCTCCATCACCAACCAGAAAGATGTGAGTGAAAAGAGTGAACACTGTAGGAGGTGAGAAATACATGAAGAAAGTCTGCATCACGAAAATCATGATTTAAGAGACAGTGAGAGTCAATGGTCCTAAAATTAATTGCTTCTTCTTCTCTGCGTTTTCTTGTAGAAAAATGATCATTACTAATATCTGATGTTTTCTCTCATTATTTTAGTCATCCAAGACTTTTCAAAATATTTTATAATACTATAAGATTTCAGCTCCTGTTGTTTTTTCATGGATAAAAGTAAAATAAAGTGATTAATTAATTTCAGGTAAATATTCTAAATCTTCTGGAGAATAATTATAAATGGCTTGAGCAGGAGGTGTTACCTGACATAACTTATTATTTTTTTATGTTCTTTTGTATTTTAAATCATGAACATCCCATGAATGAATAAAACATTTAGCCTCGGCAGCATTTGTGCGATGCTTAACTCATTCAGATAAACATGAGGCACATGACCTGTTCTTCTGAAAGGTCCATGACACTCTCATCTTCTAGCTCAACCTTCTTATTTAACATACACCTGAGAGTCATGTTTAGATTTTTTTCATGCGCTCGTCTGTAAAGCCCTCCCAATTTTGCTCTGACCCTGCGTCCTTCAGGGTCATTCCTCTGTGACTTCCTGTATGTGCGTATGTGCGCATGTGTGGGTGTGTGTTTGTCAGGGCTTTGTGTTTCAGCTGGGAGCTCCTGATTGTGTGACACCCGTGTGCGGCAGATGAGACGGCCTGTCAGTCAGCTGCGGCCTGGCTGCCCTTTGAAGGCCAGGCCAGGGGGCGAAGAGGTGCCGCAAATGGCCTGTGAAGTTTACATACACTGCCCACTGCTAAACAGATTAGCTCTAATGAAGTGTCTAATGCCGGGGCTGCTGGCTGACATAATCCTGCCTGGCAGCCCGGCCCCTTGGCTGCCAAAAAAGCCGCCCTCCCTCCAGCCCTCTCTTCCACCCTCGCATGGCCTCTGCTGCCACCCAGGGCGACTCCACACAGGGAGGTGCCCACTGTTAATCATGCCGGACAGTGTGCGATCTGACATGCAAATGTAGGTCATTGCATATGTAAATGTGTGATTACGGGGCTGGCATGCCAGGACACATTAGCGAGACTGTGCTCTCAGCAGGCGGTTGTCACAGCGCTTTAGAGGTTCATGCTAACATTTGTCAAGCTACCACGCAGCGAATGAAAGCAATGCCCCCTTGTCCTCTCTCTCTTACTCATTCTCTCTCTAGCTCGCTCTGTCTCTCTTTCTCTCATTCCCTCTCTTCTTCCCTCCCTGATCTGTACACCTCAAAATGTTCATCCTTCATCAGTTGTCATTATTAAGCATTATATAGCCACATTTTCAGCATGACACACCCCTTGTAGATTTTTGTGTAGGTTTGCATTTAACATGTAATAAATACAAGTTCAATTTCTTGTGAAATCCCCATTGGTATGTTATTATATTTTTAAAGCATTCAGTGGTTATTACCAAAGGACATTACAGTTCTTTTGAGCAATGGTAATGTTGAACAGTGGGCTGTGGAGCAGAGTGTCATGCTCGCTGTCAGACTGACTCTCAGACAGCTTTGGATGATGGTGGTGTCATGCTGAAAAATGCACACACCTCAGCAGTGTTAATTGGACAGGGCATCTCATTGGCTCGCACCTCTTCCATTGGCTGTCACACATAAAACAATGACGTGCTTAAATTGGTTCTTTACCCAACCCCCCACCCAACCACCCCAGCCTTGGATGAACAATCCTGCTTGGGCTCATTATGGATTTATGAATCAGTTTCTAACACCTCAAATGCAAGAAATTACAGATTTTCTTAATTTAATAAATTTGAATGTGAAAATGTTTTTTGTTTTGGTTCAGTAATTTTGAGACATTTTGCTAACTTCATGTTTTTTTTACTTTGTCTTCCTTGGTAGTGACTTTGTCTTCCTTGGTAGTGACTTTGTCTTCCTTGGTAGTGATTTGGCAACTGAGGGACTCCTGTATAGCCTCTGGCACTAAAGTGAAGCGGACAAGTGTGATGACACTCCTTCCTCGTGTGTTTTGGTGGTTGGGAGATTCATTTTTGACCTTCTCCCCTCTCCTCGTCTTCCTTCTGTCTGTCCTAAGTCGCTTGCCCCAGAGCAGCACCCACAGCTACATTGGCAGAAGCACTGGTGACATGTGGCATTCTGATATCTGTCACCTTCTGTTTGCTCCCGCCGACGCCTTGTACAAGTTTAACAAAAGGCTGGAAAGGTCATGCAGACTGCTCTCTGCTTTTTGTTCCTCTCACGTCATATCCAAGGGGCTCATTCTGGTTTATTAGTGTGTGTGTGTGTGTGGGTGTGCATTTTATTTTAAATTGTAGATGGTGAGTGTTAATTTCTAATCAGAAGTTGGTGCCAAAATGTCTGGTGTCTTCCTGCATGCCTCAAGGTTTATGTTGGCCTGCTTCATGTAAGTAACACTTTTGAATTGATAGTTCATTAATTAACAGAAATTAGGTAGTTTCCTCCATCTCTGGGCTTTTAGTGAGGTGATGTGTTGCTGCAGTTAAAATTGTTCAGATTCCTCAGGACCTTTCATAGCATGATACATCAGCAAGATGCCAGTCAAATCATCAGAAGCCTACAGCAGCCTCTCAGCAAAACAAACTACAGAGGCCGGCCCTCTACAGTTTTACCCCCATCCTTCAGCTCTCATTCTTTTCCTCTTCCAGTAATGTTGAGAAGTTATTCCATGAGCCACACCGCTTATCCTGTCAGTGTTGCAGGGGTGGGGGGGGTGGAGAGCCAATCCCAGCTGACGTTTGGTAAGAGGAGGGGAACAAACAGATGCCAGACAAACAACCAGTCACACTCACGTTAACACACACAGACGGACAGGTTTTCAGTCACCAATTATAAAAAACTGCATGTCTTAGGACTGTTAGAGGACATGGTAGACTCACTCATGATTGGACCAAAACATCATGATACATGGAGTAAGGTTTAGTGGATAGTATTTCTAAAATATCAAAAAAGTTGGACATCAGCTGTGATTCTCCTGGGTGCCAGTTCAGGATCAATCACAATAAGAAAATAAAAATTCAAGCTTCAATAAAAAATTCCAGATTCACTTGGGATGCAGCCACTTGATGAAGCGATATGCAAAACCCATTGTTCCCTCCTGACATTTTGTAAAATGTTTATTGAATTTGGGTATTTTGGTTCAATTCTCTTTCAGTTTCAGATTCGTGACACCCCCAATATGTTTGTGTAAAAACTGAATAGAATTGTTTTTTTTCTTTCAGAAACCACTGCAGCCAGATATGGGCCATAATTCACTGGCTAACTTCCAGATTGAGAAGAAGATTGGTCGTGGGCAGTTCAGTGAGGTGTACCGGGCGAGGTATCTGCTCGACAACACATCGGTGGCCCTGAAGAAGGTCCAGGTAGGTTACAGAAAACAAGTCCTTTTGAATGCTTCGTGCAGCCAGTGTTTTTAGAAAAAGTGAAATGTTCAGCTACCTTTTATCACCTGTCGTCATGTTGACATAAGGTTAAATCAACCAGACCGACCCGAAACACATATACTCACACTCACAAGGGAGGTTTAGCACCTAAAACTGAATCCACACATTGATTTTATTATGTTGGTTATGGTGTTGAAGTGTAAACACAAATAAACTTAGGAAATTAATTTAAATATGAAATTAACTGTGTCAATAGGCTGAACATTTTAAGAAAATGGTAAGAGATTGTTTTTCACATCTTATTTACTACATGCTATTACTAACTACAATGTGATTCTAGATCTCATGTTGATTATGCACATACACTGATACTGTATATGTACAATATTTACTGATTCGCACACATATACACAAAACCAGGAGGTGTTAAGCTGCTCTGGCACACACACACACACACACACACACACACACACACACACACACACACACACACACACACAGAGTGATAGGTCCGTGTTACTCAGATGTGAAACACCTGTAGTCACTCCAACGCCACTGTCTAGATAACAGCAACCATGTTTTCTGTTAAGTGATTTTTCCCCCCCCCCACTTTCTCTACACTTCCAGATCCACATCCATCTTACCATTTCTTGAACATGTCATAACACCCCTTTCTCTCTCACTCTCTCCCTCCATCTCTCTCCCTCTCTCCCCCCTTTTGATCTCTTGATAGATATTCGACTTGATGGATGCCAAAGCTCGGCAAGATTGCATCAAAGAGATAGATCTCCTTAAGGTAAAGAACCAGAGAAGAGGGAGACAGCGTCATGCGCTGCGCTCTGTTCTCTTAAGGTGCCTCAGCTGAGACCTTCCACCACAGGAAAACAATTGATCTGCACCAGACGGCTTGGATGTGTGTTGTGTGTGCGTGGGCCTGTGCATGTGTGTGCACGCGCCCTTGCATGGTTATGAATGCAGAGGGGGTGTTTTTGTATTTGTGCATACACGTAAAAAGAGTGAATGAATATGTGTGTGACTCTAAAGTACGTGTGTATTGTGCAGCAGTGTTACATCCCTCCAGGCTCACATTGACTCCTTTTGCAATGCCAAAATTATTGTTTTTTATCTTTTTGTAATGTTTAAAGGTGGGCAACAGAGCATCAGCATGGAAATTTAGCAGCCTCCCTCATGTGCTTCTTGATGTTTTACCTCCTCTGGTTCTTCATTCTTCTTCTCTTTTTTCTTTTTCCCATTGAAGAGGTTTCATTTATCAAACTATCTTAAACATGTCAGATGGGCTGCTCTCAAATACTAATGAACAACTAATGACAGCTTCAGTATTTCCTATCTGAAAGATTGTAGATGTGTGTCAAAGTTGTGTGTGTTTGTGGTTTGATTGTGTGCATTCATGCATCCCTTGTAGTGTTTCCCTCCATATATGCAGCTCCTCTGTGTGCGTGTGTGAGTGCGCACTGCAGGCGGTTTGTGCACATATGCGTGCTCACACGTACACATTAGAGAGAACAAGAAAACAAAACCAATTAGTTTGTGCCACTCAAACACTTCAGTGAAGCTCCTGGGGCTCCTTGGACCAATCAAAGACAACGATACTCAGATGCTGGCGAGATCCTGCAGAGAGCTGTAATCTGAGTAGCAGATCACTGACTTGACGGCATGAGACAGCCAAGTTTGCCTGGGTCCGTATCTCTGACCTCCTAAGAGGGGTCAGTGCAGGGTTAAATGTCACCCTCTGACAGGTGACTACATTTCCTTATGCATTTTCTTTTTTTCTCTCATTATATGAATCTTCTTCCTCCGTACCATTTTTCTGTCTGTCTCTTCTGCTTTTCTCGTTTCTCGTCTATCTATACCTTATTCGCCCGATTGCCATGTGGTTCCATCCGTCCCCTCCTCCTTTCACTCTCCATCCCTCGTTTCCCCCTCAGAGCTTTTTGCCTTTTTGTTCCCTTCCTTTTATCGTGTAAGCTGATTGGTAGTGAACATGGAAGTTATGCCTGGCCCTGTGCTGCCCAGCCAGCCTTATAATAAAGGGCCGAGTGTGAGAGAGAGACAGTCCTTCTGCCTTATCCACACTAGACAGGCCAACATGAGACACAGCCAAATCAGAATAATGAGAGGCACACTGGCATGGGCCTACTGGAATGACACACATACTTGTGCATGGACACACACTCACACATATCCACACATTCAGTCATGGCCTTTCAACAGTCTGCCTATTTGTTTGTTTGTCTGTCTGTGTTTGTGTCTGCTCATTCATCTGTGTTTTCCTGTTCTGGCATGATGATTTCAACTTGAGAATCTCACTTCTCACTCTGTCCTTTTGTCTAAACCCTCGCTGATAGGAATGTTGGTTGCAGAAATAGCCTGCTCCCTGCCAATCTGCTAGCTTCACCATTCTTGAAATCCCACAGCTGTGTATTCCACTGCTTGTGGTTACTATCAAGACTGGATTGTATTCTGAAGACTAATGATCTGCTCAAATTAACAGTGAAGAACCATAATGATGTCTTTCTGCTTCCTTCTCTGTGCTCTGTGTTTTATGTATTTGTGTAAAAATGAGTGTGTCTGTCTGTGTGTGTATTACAGTGTGGCTACAACAGCATATTTCTATCTGAACCTGACCCAAGTCTGAGAGAGTAACTGAGCCCGACCTGAACCAAACAGGCATTCTGTTTTTATGTCTGAACATGATGCAGTTAATTTCAGCTGAAGCACTGAGTTTAAGTTACCCTGTCATGGAATTGTTACCATGGTCACAGCTTGCCTGTTTACCTTGATTACACACGGGTGGGCACCTTATAAATTACAGTCAAAAAGCATTGATTGTAATGGCTATAGGTAGATTGTTTTATCACACAAAATTCAAATATTATTTGACTGAGATGACCAAATGGAAACCAAACACAGATCCTATATTTTTGTTCGAACTCGGATCGGGTATCCACCGTCTAGCGTGTATGTCAGGGTTCTGCATCTGATTAGATTATTCCAGCGGTTTACTGACATGACCAAGAACTGGCAGCAACTAACTGCACTTCTTTAGGTCTGTTTATAAGCTTTATATTTCTTGTTGCAGTTTAAATGTCTATTTAGTTTCTCCATCAATGAACCAACATTTCCATATCCACTCATTTTCTTACTCTGCAATGAAAAATATGAATATTATAAATAGTATAAAACACAAGGCATTCATTTCTGCTGGTGATGGTCATCCGTACACCGGATCAATCCTTGTTGCTCATGAGCATGTAATTGAATTTTATAATGATAATCTAATGTATTATCATGGTTAATTTTGAGTCATCAGCATTAATCAGTTTATTGTTCTTCTTTGAAACACATCACCAGCTCACCAAATAGATCACACAGCTTTGCATGATTAAGTGATTACACACACTGGTAGGTCTCAGCCAGCATGTGTAATTACATAATCAAGCAAGACGCTATGTGATATTTCCCAATGAATGATTGTTGTACTGTAGTAGTCTCCAATCCATCATTTACATAAACATCTGCACGTGAACACATCTCTTTATTTCTCTGTTTCCTCCGCTGGAGGTTGAAGTTGTGGAAGAGGAGTGGGTTGGGATGGGTGGAGGAGGGGACTTGTCATCATTGCCTGGCTGTGCGACAGTGTGGATCCGTGCAGAACTGCCACCCTGAGCCAAAAATACATCTGGCAAGAGCGGACACGGGAGGGTGAAGGAAAGATGGAGACATGTGAGAGGGAAAGGGGGAAGGAATGGAAAGGAGAGTATTGCGGAGGGATGCAGGGATGGAGTGGAGAGTGTAGTGTAACGGAGTGCACTGTACTGTGCTCTCCTTTCCCCTCTTGTCTGGATCATCCAGAGCATGAACATTTCTTTAATCACAGCAGAGAAAGCAGAGTGGAGCCGAGTCGAGGACGCTTGTCACACCGCTCCGTCTGCTTGCATCACGGGCCCCCTCTCCTCCACATCGCCACGCCACACAGCTCCACACCTCCAGCTCTCCACGTATCACCCCCCACCCCTGTTCACCTTCTCCTGCTATTCTTTTTTTCCCTTCACCTTTGTTCTCTTTTCCTAACTCGTCACCCCATCCAGTTCTGCCTCCATCATTCCTTTTTCCTTGTCTGTGTCACTATGTCATTTGTTTCTTTCCCTTCATTGTACCTCCCTCCCTCCCTCTCTTGCTCTGGATGGATAGAGACTTTGTGCTTACTACAGGGAATGCTGTTTCTGCCTTATTGGCCAACCAACAGGAAGGAATCTCAGACAGAGATGAACCCAGGATGCTTGTTTTTCTGACTGCCATCTATGTCAGCCTGTCAGGCATGTGTGTGCGTGTGTGTGTGTGTGTGTGTGTGTGTCTGTGTGTCTCACACATGGGTTGTTGTCAGCACAGACAGAGGGGTTGTTGTGACATATCACCCAGCTTTGTCACACTTGAGGACAAAAGCATCTCATTAGGTCCGCATTTACCAAATATGGAATCCAAAAATGGATCCAACTGTTTTATTTTAATTGGTGCTGAAAGTATAGTTGATTGCACAACTTATGACATGAACCTTTGTTATTTATCAGCTGGTCGGTTGTTTTGATATAGAATGTGTAAGAAGTTTGTAAGAAGACGTGGCTGTCTATAGCTTCGACAAGGGAGGGATTTTCCACTCTTGGTTTAGGTAGTGTGACCAAGGACACTCTTAATATGACAAGTGTCACCAACATGTCTTGTACTTGCTTTTTCTTTATCTCTCTCATGACATGTCTTGATTTTTTTTTCTTTCTCCCACAGCAATTGAACCACCCCAATGTGATAAAGTACCACGCATCTTTTATTGAGGACAATGAGCTTAACATAGTCCTGGAGTTAGCGGATGCCGGGGACCTCTCACGTATGATCAAGGTAAGGAATTCAGTAACACCCAACCACAAGAGGCTTAAAGGACACAGATGATATAGAAGTATACAGTAATTTTATTGCATTTTAAGGGAAAGTCTGAGACCAGCTTTGATAGTGGTCACTTTGGTTTTACAGATTATTGAGTTGTGAAAACCAATATGATTTATACAGATATTGTTTCTCTTTCTTTACCCTGTCTTAACACTACTTAACTTTAAAACTTAACATAACCCAATCAGCAATTATTCATCACAAACATTTTGAAGTACTTTAATATGATGACGAATATTTGTATAACTGGTTTTAATTCATGTTCGGGCCTTGGGGGACAATATGTGAACATAAAAATAGCCAGTCCAGCATTGTATCTTACATTTTGTATCAGAAAGAAATGTGAGTATGAAAGCAACAAACTGCTGATGTGGCTTTTTATGACTGAAGGAATTGTGGCAGGGGGTCTGTGGTTTGCGGCTGTAAAAGGATTTTGACTACCTGGACACTGAGTCACAGTGAATCATTCACTCCACAATGAAACCAAAGCCAAATAATATAAGGCCTCCTGCAAACTCCTTTAATCCCGAAAGTCTGTGGTGACATGTGCCTCGACTGTGAAAGGGAAGTTGTTAAAAATCAAGCTGTGATTAATTGTTCTGAAGTTACAGCATGTTTCTTTATGCAGGGGTGTGTAAACAAATACCCAGCATAACTTATCTGGCTTTAATCTTTGGATTTCCTCATATCTTTTACATATTAAATCCTGAAGTTGAATATCAATATAATTTGGGTAAATTTGAGATTTCAATAGTTTTTTTTCGTTGTGTCCATTGTTTTTTTCTCCAAATACTGACCACAGGTTTTTGGAATTCATTTTCCAAGTTATTCATCATAACTTGATATTCTTCATAAAGGACACATTTCAATAGCCATTAAAACTCTCATTTATATATTTGAATAAAGTACGTCATGTGTGACCTTGAACCACATAGGTGAACACGGTTGACTTCGATCTATTAGTTTTTCTAGTGCAGATATGTTGCTGTGAAAATTGGAGCAGAAGAAAAAAACATTGTTGTTCAAAAGTGGCAGTGATTCCATCTCCGGCTCATCCTATTATTCGTTTTTGAGTTAGACTAAAATCCTGAGTTATGATAAAAAACCTGCCAGTGTAGCAAATTAGTGGTGTGCATGTAAAAACCCTGGTCTTCTCCCATGCATAAATGATGCTGCAGTGTTGTATCGGCACAGCTCGACAAGCTGTTTGCAGTCATACTCAGCAGCTCCACATCCACATAGTTCAACACAGCAAATTAGGAGAGGCGAGGATTAGCTGTACAAGAGAGTGAACATGGCAGGCTCAGCACACACATACACATACTGGTATATATCCAGTGCCGACATACACCTAGTAACTGAACACATAGTGTACATATGCCATGCCATACTCCAAAGCATGTGCAGACACGACCATGGAAACGCCCACACAAATATTCAGATATTCACTTTATAAAGACATAACATGGCAGTCTGAAGAGGTAAGGTAATAAACCACAGCATCACTATCTTAGCCAAGCTACCGAGGATGCTGGGAGCATTCAGACTGTGCCTTCTCCTTACGGCTGCTGACAGCACGCACACACGCACACACGCACACACAGACACACAGACACACACACACACACACACACACACACACACACACATTTGTCTCCTGCACTGCTCTAAATGATTTGTTTTCCTAATGTAACAGTGGCAGTCCAGAGGTGCATGCCAGGGCTTAGCCCCCACTTCTTTGGCTGTAATGGGAAGTAAACACATTCATACAGTTTTCCATATGTAAAACAGACGCCCCCCCCCCCCTCGATGCATGAATTTAACATTTTTTATTCTTTTTGATTTCCCGTCTTCCTTGCTGCTCTCTCCTCCTTTCTCTATTCCTCCCTCATTCTCTATTACTCTCTCTGACCATCTCAGAATTCAAATGAAATCAAATGGTCCTTGATTTGCATGCACTTACAGAATATTGCATGTGCAGTGTTTGCTGTTAAAGGCATGGAGAAGAGGGTGGTGTTGGTGTGCTCCCCCATTGACATCAAACAGTCCTCTGATATGGAAATGGGAGGGCAAGGGAAGAATGGCTCCTCACTGACGCTTTGTTTCGATGTAGGCCAAGGTCTCTCCCTCCATCTCTCCCTCTATCTCTATCCCTCTCTTTCCTGCACACCTTCCCTCGTTTTCTGTTCCATCGTCTAAATCCTTTACTTTCTGATTCTTCCTAATGTGCCATCACCTCATCATTCTTCCTATCTGTTTATTTCTTTTCTCATATTCTGTCTCTTTTGTTCTTTCTTACGTCGTCTTTAAAGTCTATGAATTTGTAATAGTCCTATCCTTTCCCCACCTTGACCCCTGATCTTACTAGAGACTACATTTTATTTTGTTTCTATAATAAATACACTTTCTTCCTACTACATATTGTAATCTGCTCCTCTAAATTCTGTAAATACTGCGCAGCATAAGCAATCACACACATGCTTTGTCAAAATGATATCCCTAGTTTTATAAGATACAACGAATACAAAATATAAACATGCACACGTCCACAGTTACTCTGTGTCGTAAGTTTGATTTATTTAGTGTCCTCTTTGATACTGAACTTAATGTAATGTTGCTCTTATTATAATATTTTGTAGGTAAGACTCTCTGCTAAATGTTTAAACTGTAATTTCCATGTGCATGACTCTAATCGTTGGCTCGGGTTGAGACTCTTCCTTGCTGCAAACGGACCCATGAAAACATCCTGCAAAATCATGCCAGTAGCCATATTTTCTTAGTCTTAGATGTTGCCGTATGAGGAGTTCTAATTCTCAGTCAGTGATTTTAGTCTTTGTGGATCAAAAAGCCATGATATCCAAGTTTAAACTCTGTCAACACTGTGGCTTTTCTGGGGAGGGACCAGAGTCTTGATGATCCAGAACCACCCCAAAATAAATAAATAAATAAACTGAAAAAAAACTGGAACCGTCGTCCCACAAACCTGCACTTAACAAAAGAGCTGCTGTGTGCCAGATGGGAGACTTTTGGAAGGTACCACAAATTTCTTTTCTCTGTTCTCTGGGAATTCATGTGCTTCTCATTGTAGGTCATTGAGAAAATGAGATGGAGCTTGGTTAGGAAAAAGGACCGACCAAGAGGAGAGTGGTCTGGGTTGCATTAGGAGTGGAGTCATAGAGCTGAGGACTGAGGCCGGGGATTGATGCTGCACAAACGCACGCAGACATAAAAACTTTTGCTACAATCTTAAAATTGTATTCCTTTCCACACAAGACCTTTTACTATCCCTATTAAAGTATTTTATATTTTTTTTCTTTCAGGTATTCTAATGATACTTTGGTTTTCTGTGTCTTCCTGTCAGTGTTTATGCATGCATTGCAAATTTCCCCATTGTGGGACTAATAAAGTTTACCTCTCTTACTTTTCAGCACTTTAAGAAGCAGAGGAGGCTTATCCCAGAGAGAACGGTTTGGAAGTACTTCGTCCAACTCTGCAGTGCGCTCGAACATATGCACTCCCGGAGGGTCATGCACAGAGGTAGAGTTAACACACACACACACACACACACACTGGACATAAACATACACCCACACACACAAACACAAATACAGTATATAGAAATCTTTCAAATCTGGACCAGGTTGTGCTTATAAAATCAGCCTCCATGAATGTAAAGTGTTTCAGTTGTAATGGATTATGTATCTTGGATAGAGAGACGTGCAAATGCTGCAGCTGCTCAGATCTGTTCTCACCTCCTATGAATTTTATGGAAAAGTAAACACAGAAGCAGAAGTACCACTTCTTACTTTGAAATTTAAGTTAGAGATGTGAACACTCAAACGTATAGGTCAGCCCTTGAAAATATATTGTGTTGTATTTAATATATACAAAGTCTCTATTAAAAGATGTAACTATTTTACATCTGCTGCATTTTTGCATTTGTGGATTTTCATTTTTAACTTTTTCAATGACTGTATGAGCTGAATAATTTCACGTTGAATCTTTGAACAAATGTACATACGTTTCAGAAAATCTTTGAATTTGGAATTTGATGCCTCATTGGAGACCTGCAATATTTCCCAATGTCCCAGTGATCCCTCTAGTGATGCCACAGAGGACTTTCTCAGGGTTAGAGGACAGGTGACTGTGAATAAATGCAATGACAGTCAGGACTTAGTTTGTAGCTTTGAGGTGAAGACCCCAAGTCTTTGTCCTGCTGCTCTCTCCACAAATATGCAAACCACAGAGTATAGCATGTGTCTGAAGAATGAAGTGGTAGCTCTCTTTGGTCAGAGTGTAGTCGATTCGGTGCAGGTCTCTGACTCAAGATCAGACGAAACACCATCGGACTTGAATATTCCCTCCATGATGTTTCGCAGTCAGTCTAATAGACTGAGGTATCATTCTTTCTCCGGTTTGTCTCCTTTATACACTCTTCTGTTGCTGCCTTCAATTTCGAACATGGATTCATCAGTAAATAGGACTTTTTTTCATCTACAGTGAAATGCCAGTACTTCTTAGCCCACACCAAATGTTTGGCCTTGTTTCTCGGCTGAGAAGCAGTTTAGAAACTGCTACTCGTCCTCTGAGACCACTACAAGACAGCCCTCTTTTGACAGCTGATTGCTGTCTTGGATTCTTTATTTATCTGTATCTGTGACGAGAGATATTTCTATCTCTCAGGGAATGAAGACTGATGTATTGATCTCTTGATGGTGTTGTAACTTTTATTCCTCCTGAATCTTTAATGTTCCTTCTTTATTGATATGACATAAGGTCTTATGTATTTCAATAATTTTTAATACTTAAGCTTCCTAATTATTTCCAGGTTTATATGAAAATATTCATTCTCAGACTTGTAGACCCAATTAATTTCATTATTTTAATTAATTGTATTTCATACCTCCTGAACAGCTCAGTAATTCATTCATTAAGGTTAATATACTTAGTGATTGACAGTGCACCATCTTTTCCCATTAACTAAATATATCATGCATGTATGAAAATGTTGGTGTACATTACATTACGAGGGCAATCGAGAGAATACTGTAATACTACTGTAATATAATACAAGGGAATGTCCCTGCCACTCATCAAGTCCCATGGCTTTTGTAACTTAGCAGACCTGTTACATATATGAAAATATATGACACACTAAGGGAAGAGAGGAAACCTGAAAAGCATAATGTTGGCATTTTTAAGAAGTTGAAGCATATCATTTCCAGCTATTTGGATTATATACAGTCCCTCGTCAACAGAAAAAAACATACAACACTCAGACTATGGCCCAAAAAAAGGATAATGACCGAAAACCGAACATTATGTCCGTATTTGACTCTGGGTTTTCTTTACTGTGAATGACCTTGTTGCATATGACAGAAAGTTTAAGTGCAGCTGTTAAACAACACATAGACCAGAGAACACAGTGTTTATGGCCCCACATGCTTTCAATAGGGCCTGGTCAAGTCAAGCCCCAGATTCATGTACATAGGCTGCTACACACACGCACGCACGCATGCACGCACGCACGCACGCACACACACACACACGCACACAGCTACAGGTGATGTACTTCCGTTGGACTGACTCTGATTAGGGCATAGGGACACTAATGAACCCTAAGCTCTGAGTTTTAATGACCACTTAACAGAGACCGTCTATTCAAAAGCTGCTTACAGTTATACGGGAGCAGTAATTTTCAAAGGCTGATGCGTGTATCATTAACATTAAGTTTGAAAAGGCTCCAGAAATGGGATGCTAACACCCACATTACCTCAGATTAATATTTTTATTGTGTACATTTTTTCCGTAACGCTGACATGTTTTCTTGGCAAAGAGGAGATGCAGTTTTTTGTTTACTATGGTATATCCCTACCACAGGTGTTTTTGCTGCTTCTGTTACTAATATATCATTTATATTAGGCCCTTAAACAGTGAGTCTGGGTTAATTTCAACCAGTTCGTAAATGCTTTCCTTTTGTGCTTTTACTGACTCCTCTCCTCACTTCTCTTCTCCAGATATCAAGCCTGCCAATGTTTTCATCACAGCCACAGGAGTAGTGAAACTAGGAGACTTGGGACTGGGACGATTCTTCAGCTCCAAAACAACTGCCGCTCATTCGCTAGGTATTTTTCAGCAGTCTACACACACACACACACACACACACACANACACACACACACACACACACACACACACACACACACACACACACACACACACACACACACACACACACAGACAGACGCAGTGAATGAAAGAGAGAAAGAGCGGCCCCCAGTAATCACCCAATGTTGGATGTGTTTCATTAGGCATGGTGAGCCCAGAGCCATGTGTCATACAGTCATGCAGCCTGGCCACGGCTGTGCCCGCCCCCTTCATAGGCCACTTAGCCACTTCCTGTTGCCTTGACCTTTAACCCTAACACAGATGAAGAGTGGGCAGAGGTGGGTTGAAACACAGCTCTGATTGTGACTGTGTGCCATAAAACAAGCCAACTTTACAATCAGGGTTATTGTTGGCAGTGCTGGGTGTGTTTGTCACTCTTGGAAATAAAATCATATAACACAGTTTTTTTTGTGTCTCAGAGAAGTGAGAATTGTTGCCCAAAATTTCCACGATAACTAAGACATTACAAAACAGGGTTTTCCGAACCTTAGACTATACGAACTGTACCACATGTTTGAATACATTCTTTAATGTTTATGGTATTCAAGGACAATGGGAATTATACTGCAAATCTGTTTTGGATTAAGAGGAGAGCGAAATAAAACTTAGTAATTCTTGATTTTAAAATAAACTACAAAGACATCTCTACCACTTCTAGCTTTGTCTTCTCAGGGAAAACATGTAGCTTATCGCACTTACCACACAGCACTGGTTTTAACACAAATGCACACACTCATCTCCCTCACTTCATGGGTGTTTAAAATACAAGCTTACCTTTTAAACAATTTGTCAACTTACTATTCCAACCAGCCTTTATCACTGTTTCAGTCTCTCTGCTCCAGCACCTCCTCTGGTGATTAACTGTGCATATGCTGCAATGTCAAGAAAGAGTCGGAGCAAATTGGCCACTGTTACGAACTAGAAGATAGAAGAAATCAAGAAAAACACCAAAACCTCTATGTTCAGTTTACTGTTCAAGTCTGTAAATTAAGATGTTGTTCAAGGCACAATTTTAAACCACTGATTTGTTTTGAGAATGTAGGGATATCCTGCAGAATGTACTTAATGGTGGTAAAGAGAGTGAAGGATGCCAGGACTCTAGCAGAATTTTCTTTTAATCGTTATTTAAGATAAGATAAGAATGGCCTCTATTAATCTGAAGGAAATCCCTGTGCCAAATCTTGCTCCAAAGTTAAAATCACAAAGAATGATGTAATAGTATTAAAAATATGTATAGAAAAATATGTCTAAGTATATAACAATACAAGTAATATAAGTTATAAAAATCAAAAAATATACAAGAAAAAATAAGAACTACATTAAAATAGGAATAGAAAAGGTAGTGACATGAGAAGTATTGCACATGATAATAAACATCATATTGCATATGATATGTGTATACTATTGTACATGACAATAACGGAACTGAAATTGTACATGATATAGTAAAAGTAATATATATTCATAGCACAAAAAGTAATTCTCCCTTTTCCAACTCTTTTAGCAAGAACTGGAAAATATATACACCAAAATATACGCTGTCATTCGCACTGTCTCGATTCCCTATTTCACGCTGTTATTACCACAAACAGCACGCTATCTTCAGCCCCTGTACAGCAGCAGCCCAGCCTTTGAAAGTGTGAATCACATGATGAACTCAGCAGAAGCTCGATCAGCTAAGCAGCCTGCAGTGCTCGCAGAGCGGGGTGATTGCTCATTAAACGTTGAGTCCGCAGCACCCTCTTTAGGCTGACAGAGGATAGGCAGCCCCGTAAGCTTAGGGGTCAACTGGAATACTCCACTTATTAATTCCTAGCAAACAAACTGCGTTAATCTACACAGCTCACAGTGTAATATTTCTTCTAGTGAAGGGGGAAATATTGCCATGTGTATTTTCTTTTATATGTAGATGCATTTGACATGATATCATAAGCATGATGAGAATGCATATGTTCATTTCAAAGATGAACTTAATTTGTCTTTATGTCACCACAGTACTCTTTACTCTTTTAAGAATATTTTAACCAAACAAGGATATTTGGCAGAAGGTTTTCCAAGATGATCTTGTACCGTAGCAATGCATGATGTCCCAGGTTACAGTGACCTGTCAACAAAGGATTCTGAGGGACACTGGCTTTCCATTTGACATTTCTTGCAGTGCGTTTTAAACAGCTGATCTTCTCTCTTTCTTTGTCACCTTTCCTTCTCTCCTGCTGCTATTTCTCCACCTTACTCGTCCTCACTTCTCTTCCCTCTGTCCCTCCCTCTGGTGCCTTGACTTTTAGTCAAAGAGAAAGACAAAGGTGGAAGAGAAAGAGAGAGAAGGTGTGAGAAAACTAGAGTTGGAGAATGGAGGACAGCACACAGAGAGAGGAATAGAGACGGGAGAGGAGGGAGAAAGCAATATGTCAGAAAAAGAAAGGTGCATAAGAAAAAGAACAAGTGACAAAGAAACTAAAAAAGAAAGGCAGAGAGTGCTGGGAGAGAGGAGAACGTGACAGAGTGACAATGAAAAAAGAGGAGAAAAAAACCAAGCAAAGAGAAAGGAAAAAAAGTTTGCTGCAGAGTAAGAGGAGAGAATATGACAATGTGACAGAAAAAATGGAGGAGAAAAGGGAAAACATGAGTGAGAGAGAGGGATAGAAAGAAAGAGTGTGTGTACTTTCGCGTGTGTGCACGCACGCACACACGCGTGTACTCGCATGCCCAATCACGTGCCAGCGTGGGTCTGTAATGAGCCCAGCCACCCAGCTGAACAGTAGAGCAGGGTGGTGGAGCTGAGATGGAGGTCCAGGCATACAGCCTGTCAGCTCCTAGGCTTTCAACTCAGCTGCTCAGCAGCCTGCAGACACTCAGACTCTCTCTCTCTCTCTCTCACACACACACACACACTCTTTGTCTCCTATACAGATGAATGTTGAAATGTACATCCACGTGGGTTTGAACGCATGCACACACATATGAAAGAGCAGATAACCATTCACATAGAGTCATCATCATATATATACATCATAGATATCCACTTGGGACATAAGACAAAAATAAACACAAGCATGCAAAAGACACCCACTATACACTTTATGCTTTCCAGTGTTGAGGATAGGTATGTAGGGTTATGGAAACAGTTGGATAAAGCAAAAAAGAACAAAAGAAGAGAAGTAACAGGAAAGCTAATGCAATCATTAAAGAAAAGAGAGACAAGCCAATTGGCAGTAATAATTAGAATAATAAACCTACAATTAACACCTGTAATGAGAAAGGTGTTAAAGATGAGGACTGGGGGATAGGGAGGAAAAGAGGAGGAGAGCAAACAAAATTGAAGCAGACGGAAGTAGGAGAGGCAGATGAATTATGACTGTTTCAATGTGTTTATGAAGACTTGGTTAACTTATAAAGCCAAACAAGCGAGTCATAAAACAAAGAGGCGTAGGTGGAGGACCAGAGAGGGAGCGAGGGCTCACCAGGACATGTAGAAAACCAAGGAAAACTTAATTGGATTATAAGAAAATACAGAAAACATCCCCTGACTATGAGAATAAATCGTTTGTGGCTGTGCTCCTGATTAATAGTTGAAATCTTTTGTCTGTTAAAACACGCTGGAGTGGCAGTTTCCTAACTCCTCCACTGGCTCTGAATCAGAACAGTCATTCTACAGGATGAGAATTTATCATGTCTGATGTGCATATAGAGATTCATGCAGTTCAGGGAGGGAGAGCGTATATGACATAGGTCATCTGTAGCCCAAATTCACAGACATCTTCCAAACACTTTACATCCAGACTATCGGTAGATGCTAGTTTGGTGTGTGATAAAAAAATGTTTTAGTATAGAAAAAAAATGAAATAAGACTTTCAAATTGTAAGATATGAAATTTAAACAGAGTGATTTCACCTTTCTGGACGAGTCTCAATCTTCTTGGGTGGATTGTTCGTGTAGATTGGAGAAACGCCGAAGAAATTCTATTATCCACTGAGACAGCAGCAGAATGTCATCCCTGTTTAAAACACACAAATGTAAACTGGTAATAGATCACAGATTAGAGAAGAATAACACCATTAATGAGTACTATCCACAAAATGCTTCACTGTGTTTAACCGGTCCATTTAAAGCTTTAAGCGAACAGTCTTTGCAATTATATCAATAAATGTATTTAAATCGACAGGATTTGTTAATTTTCACAGTACATTCTGCAGCAGTTCAGATGAGGAGGGTTCGTTACACTGGATAGCATCTCACCTCCTATACAGTAACACTTACCCTGTTAAACAGAAAATACAGTGTTGTCATAGACATTTACAATAATGGAAATCAATCCCAACATGACTTTCAATTTATTTGCATGAATAAGTAATGTACCCTTAATTTAGCATGCTGAAGGAGACAGAGTCGGGCGCTGCTGCCTTTTTTTATGCTACTATTAGCATAAGAGAGGCTGATTCTTTTTAATCAACTAATAATGAATGTTAGGGGAGCTTGTTCAGACCGTACCATGAAATCTCACAGCGCACACACACCCACACACACACACACTCACAAAAACCACAGCACAAACCTGATGACCAATTAAAATGGCAATCCCCAGTGCCCTGTTTATTCTTCTGCGTGCTCTCTCTTGCTTCTGGCTGTGCAGATTCAGATTTTTTTTGGGATGACAGGTAACACCTTATTATTCAAAACTGCACATTTAAGATAAAAGCGTGTTTTTTCAACTCAATTAGTTGTGCACCAAAATTAAAAGTGCTAGCTTTCATTTCATTTCCCACAGACTTCAAATCTAATACCCCCTCTGTATTAGTTCTGTTAATTACAATTACATCAGTTCAGCTTCCTCCAACCTGTTAATGTGCAAAGCGGCTCTGGAGAGTTTGTGTGTGTGTGTGTGTGTTAATGTGAGTGAGAGTAAGTGCAGTTGTGGATTTTTTTCCTTCTATATTACTGAAAGCTGACTTTTCTTCTGAGTTTCACTTGAGACCTGTTCTTACCTATCCAGCTCACTGCAACTGTTTTCCAGTATTGTAAATGCAACAACCATCCCTCTATAAAAACTCATCACAACACTCTTTGTTTAAAGGTCGGGGGAGACTCTCAGAAATACAATAACAAATACACTGCTCTTAATTAAATTTTAGTTTAATTTGTGTAATATGTGCAGCAGATCTATGAAGTCCCTAGTTTTCCCTTTCATTCTGTGGTGTGAAGTGTTATTTAAGATTTAAATTCATTAGTTACTTTACAAACACATTTCACCAGTATGTGCACCCTCAAAATTAGCTGGTGCAGTGATTGAAGCTGAGAATTATGATACAGCACTGGACACGCAGGATTTTGGATAAGCAGAAAAATTGCGTAATTAACAAGTAACAGTGTGAGGTTATCTTTCTCATATATACGAGGTTAACAATCAGTGTGGATTTTACGGATAATGTAAGAACATGTCGATTATTTTGACATTTAAAGCACAAGAGACACACAACCTACTCAGTCATTGCTGCAATGCTACTGATGGAAGTTGTATAGCAGCTCGGCAGCGTCTGAGCAGCTGTCGTCATTATATTTCAGTAAGTCCTCAGTTCACACGTTTGTTTGAGAGGGTTTGAAAAGAGAAGCCCGGGAGCTGCTAAGCACAGGTTAAAGAGCTCCTAAAATTCCCATCCTTAAATCATACGTGATTAATGTGGACCCTCTGCTGGATGTGCTTGATAGACTTTTACATGGGAAATCACAATAAACAGAAAGCAAATGCAGGAAAAAAAGCATCTGGTCATATTCAGCTAAGAAAGCAGCATATCTCCAAAGCTTCCTGCGGTGTGTTATGGATGTAATGTTGAGAGCTGGGGTTCCTTGTCGTGTCCATTCGGATGAAGATCTGATTCTTTGGCGCTGCGCCAGTCGCCATGGCAGTTTGGGATTCTTGAGTTTCAAAACCAGAACCAGAAAGTGGCCAACTTTTAAGTTTCCACCACTGCTCTCCGGGCATATTCACTGACTACTGTTTCAGATCATTACCAAGCTCCAGTAATCAAAACTGATTTATGTGTATTTTGTGTGTGCGAGTATGTCTGCTGTACATATGTTTGCAACTCTGTGGTACTTGCACAATTGCATGCCCTGTATGTGGGTGTACATGATGAAATGTAACCTTATTAAATCCGATCCTACTTAGAATTAACAGAGGGAATCCACCTTAAGTCAGTCTTGTTTTATTTTTGTACTATTGCTAAAAAATGGTAAGTATTGCAGCCCCTGAATGTGTCAAAGTTTGAGACTACACCTCCATTCCTCGCCCGCTTCTCTGTGCTGTGTGAGCTGTGTCAGTGATGCTGATGAACTGGGGGGGAAGCATGGGTTTGCAATGCAAAATGTTAACACTCACTCTCTCTTTTTGTCTTGTTCTCTTCTGCCTCCGTCTATCTCCTTCTGTCCTTTCCCCCCCTTCCGCCTCCCCCCTCCTTCCCCCCTTTGTCTGTGTTCCAGTGGGTACTCCTTACTACATGTCACCGGAGAGGATACATGAAAACGGATACAACTTCAAATCTGACATCTGGTCGCTAGGATGTCTGCTCTATGAGGTAAACTATGGGAATATGTGCACATACTGTCACCCTGCAGTCGACTGCAGGAGTGACGTGAGAACACAGCGGCTGAAACACACACACACAAACAAACAAACCATCCCCAATCCCACATATAATGGAGTACTATAAGAAAATATATACAGATGTTTATGCTTCCCCAAGGAGCGATGCTGTATTTACAATGAGCATCACTAGACATGCCAAGGAAAACAATGCACACTCTTTAGTCACAGTTTAATCATTTAAATGTTAAATGCTTTGTCATAATTCTTTACCTCATGTCCCTCGTGTTCCTTGCTTCTGTCCCTGGCTCAACTCTGAGACTGAGGTTTTTAGGCAAGGTACCTGCTGAATGTTGAAAAGCTGGTGAGTGAAGAGAACTGACATGGCCATGTGTTTTAGATAAGGCTGCCCGGTGACACTGACTAGTTTGATTAGTCAGGAGTAAAACACCACAGGGCTGCAGACCACACTGAGAGCAGACAAGCCCGGGAGGAGCACACAGCACAGGGAACAAAGACGGAAGAGTGAGGAGCTGAATAATGATGGACATGAATGATAGCAGTCAATCTGATTTTTCACCTTGCCAACCCTGGCATGCACTGAATACAAACAGACAGGCACGAAGTCAGAGACACACTGCCGGGCAAGGAAACACCCACATTTTCCTCTCCTCCTCTCTCCCAACTCCCCTGAGCTGCTGATCACTTGGGCTGCATTTCAACGCACCGGTGACTGCACCTACTCTACAGCGCCTCAGGCAAGGAGGTGGAGAGAACGCAAGGAAGAAGTTTTGAGCTCAGCTTGCAGGTCATGGTTGCTCAGAGACCACAGTCCTTCATGCTAATTAGTTCCCCACAATGCACTGTGGTAATGCACGGCTGTGGTTGGCTTACAGCAGCGGGTGCCGCAGGTCACAGTCTGTTTTTGTACTTTTTATATGTGGTGCACTTGTGTGTTTGCACAGAAGATGTTACTTGTGCTGTTAATAAAAATCGGACTTCTTTGTTACATTGCTCCAGTTGTGTAGTTTATGTAGGTGTCATGATTGTGTAACCTCACAAGCACCAATTGGTTTTATTAAATTAAGGTCATTTCGATATGGGTGGTGTATTTTTCATTGAGGCAGGTGTAAGTTTTATGTTGATTTAGGTTTATTTAAAAACTGATTTGGGCTGTTTTCTTGTGTCCTAAGAAATCCCAGTTAATGCCTTGAATATGATATCTCAGGAACACTTCCTAAATTTGGTACAAAAGTTTACTTGGACTAACAGATGAATTGATTAGATTTTGGTGGTTATAGGCAAAGGTCATGGTGACCTCACAGCAAGTGTTTGGCCTCTTGTACATGATATCTCATCTTTGTTCAAATTTCTGACCAGTTTTCACTTAATCAGTTAATTAGATTTCAGTGGTCAAAGGTCATGGTGATGTTAGGATCACCTGGAGAGACTGAATCTGCACGGGTCGGCAGAGAGATAAAACTGCAGGGCGGTATTTCTCATTTTAAACATCAGACATTGTGCTTTGTTGTTCTTGACATTTTCCAAAATTCTTCTAATATTTTGTTGGGCAAGCTTCTCAGTTTGAAATTGTCATGGTGCTGCATGTGGAGCCTTAGCATTGATTGTTATACAGTTTCAGTCACGGTGCAGTGCATTGATCTGTTATACCTTTCACCACAGGAGAACTGCTAGGGGTCACAGTCTAGACGAAACACTGAGAAAGCCAAGATGGAGACCAGAAATGAGGAGAGCAAAGGATAGTGCTATGGAGAGCAAACGTGAAAAGATGGAGGAAAACCTATTTCTCCCTGAGGAGGTCAGAGGACTCTGAATGAAGATATAAGGTGAAAAAGTTTAGGAATCTATACAGGAACAATATAGGAAGCTAGTGGAGGGTGAGGGCTTAGTCTTAAGAGAGAATGAGAAGAAAGAGGAGATGGAAGGTTAGACAGTCGGGGAACAGAGGGTGAGAAGTGGAAAGGAAAAATAACAAATAGCAAGAGCAGGGTTATAGATTGCTGGAGCGAAGAGAAGATGGGGGGTGTTCATTCAGAGAGAAAGTACTGTTGGTACAAGAGCAGAGACAGAACTCCAACCATCAGGTCAAGGTGAGCCATGCAAGGAGCCTGTGGAGATAAAGATTTTACAGCCTCATTGTTACCAGAGGAGTTGCTCACCACGTCATGCATATTCTCTTTGAAGAACAGATCCTTGCTTTCCAACTTCTTGGTAAGTGGGCTGCGCGGTACATTTTGGTGTCAGGAAACTTGCCTCTTTCTCTCCCAAACTCTCTCTTTCATTCCTCTGTGCTCTGTTCTCCTCCCTTCTTTTAGGTTCCCCTCCGTATGCCTCCCTTTTCCTCACTTAACCTTCAGGCATTAGAAATTCACATAGAAATCCATGCCTGATCCCTTTGGTACTCATTGATTTCACTCTGGACATACAGTGGGGGCTGAGGTTCCGTGGGTTGAGGTTTTTGTGTGTGTGCGTTCATGATTATGTGTGTTTGCATCCGAGGGAGTTTGGTTCCTTATGTGTGAAACGGCTCAGTTTGAGAGCGCCTGCATTTTTTATTCTTGTGCTCGAGGGTTGGGTAATGGTCCGAAGGGTCCATATGTCAATACCTGGTCATTGTATCTGCGTCTGTCTTCATCTCCCATTCTGTTTGATCCCTTTCTCCTCGTGTCTAACCTCATTACATCACCTGACCCTGCCCTGTGCCTCCTCACCCAAACGCACTCACCGAGGTAAACAGGGATGCTGCATTCGTCATGGTTGTCGCCGAGAGTGATTAGGAAAATATTTTGGTCGCATGCCAGTCAATGAGATCACAGCAGTCTCTCCTTTGGCTCGCAATCAAAATGTCTTATTATATATTTACATCAGTAATTCTCACGCTCAGTGCATTATATGCACACTCTCGTAAAGGAGGAGAATATCTTGAAAAGCTTTACAAGATCTGTCTCCTTCCTGTGTGGAGCTCAGTCATCCATACCTCTCACTGTGCCTATGTCCCATGCTTCCTGCCTCCACTCCTGTCCCTCCCCTCTTGTTTTGCTGTTTTATGAGAGCCAGAAAGGCTGTGTTCTCAGGAGCTGCGGTTTGTGTGTGATGAGCTGCCCCTGTGGCTATGTCTCTGCATGTTTTCAGGTTTTTTCGCAAGCCTGCTTGTCCTTTAACCTTTTTTATACTGTGTGCATCTGTTGAGGCTTTAACAACCCACGTTCCTCACACCAATATCAGTGTCTGGCCGTGACATATCCAACAAACCATTTAACGTTTGTGCAGTATCTCAAGCCTTTTTTTTTTTTTATTTCACCACTTTATACATTTCTTGATCCCTTACCTTTCTTATTTATCCACTCTCTCCTTCCCATCCTGAAGAAATCCTTTTTTTATGGTATTTTATCTGTATTAATAACCAAATATTAAACTCAGTTGTACCTCTATAATATGACAATGTCTTAAAAAACTATTTTTGGTGAGAGTTAAATGAAAAGATCAAGACCCATCTCATGTCCATTTTGGTATAGCTTAAACAAACTAGAAAAGAAAATGTGGTGATGTTGTGGAGGAGCTTGTAGGGAGATGTTGTTACTTTTAGATGGAGCCAGGCTGTTTACCCATGCTTCAGTTATAAGCTTAATTGGTGGCAGCTTCATATTTAACTGACAACTAACAATTAACAATTAACTCATAATCATATTTCCCAAATTAAGTTTTTCCTTTTATGTTTCACAATTCAAATGCCTGCATTTGGGTCCTGGGGAAAACCCTTTTTTTTTTTTWTCAGTCTTCCTCAAAAGTTCAGCTTCGTGGAACAATCTTGCTCTTTTAGCTCATGCGTCTATTCTTCTTCTTCTTGTCTTTCTTTCTTCCTTCCCTCCTCCCTTTTTAGTGTGTTGAAGTAGAGAAGTGATGACTCCACTGGGTGTAGGTATATTTTTAATGACTGTCCCTGCTCTGTGACTTATTGCCTTGATTAATATATCATCATAAAGCCACATGAAGGACCAGTGAGAACATGAAAAAGTCATGCCTTGCTCACTTCTACAGTTATAGTGTGCGTGTGTGTTATGAGAGACAGATGGAAAGAGAAAGGGAGACTGATGGATAAAAATATACAAATATACATGTGTCTTGTTTGTGTGTGTTAACATTTAGATGTTTATTTTGATGTGACATATGCCTACAATTGTATGTGTGTTTGTAATTGAGTAAGGAAACTTATGAGAAGCCCTTTGGTCCCAGGTTGTAAGGGCTCCAGGGATGATGGGGGGGCAGAGGAAGAAGACGGGAGCCTTCCGTAGCTCTTTTTTAATTGGTGTACAGGGAGAGACACTGAAGAGAGAGAAAGAGATGGATCGGTGTTAATTAAACTGGAAGACCCCATCCAGACCTTGTACATGGACAGAGATGCTGGGTTTACATGCCTGGGCTGAGGAGGGCACAACCTGGCCAGCTGAAGATGTGCTGAGGAACAAAGAAGTGCGTGTGTACGTGTCTGTGTATATGCGTGGGTACATGTGTATGTGAATGTGTGAGTGCGTGCACGTGTTAGTAAGGGTGTGGGTGTGTTTTGCCACCAGCAGCTCACACCCCTCAGACAGACAGCAGGCATGCGTGTGCATTGTATGTCTTTCGAATATCAATGAACCATATACACACACACACACACACACACACACACACACACACACACACACACACACACACACACACACACACACACACACACACACACACACACACANACACACACACACACACACACACACACACACACACACACACACACAGTCTCACAATCACACACTAGGGATGCAGAGGTCAGAGAGTGAGTCAATCATCTAACCCTGCGATGACACAGTCTGAAAAAAGGAGTAAGTGTGTGTGTCTGTGGGCATGCATCTTTCTGCTTGTGTGTGTGTGTGTGTGTGCTTGCATGTGTGCGTGCGCGTATGTGCGTGCCTGAGAGCAGGGGGCCGGCAGCTGTCAGGGGCTCAGAGCAGCAGGCACTAATGAAGCAGATGAATAGTGCAAAAACTCCCAAATACAAACAGGACAGTTGACATTTTTCATCTGTCAAAAGCAGAAGATGCACGAAAATACGATGGGGTCTTGTTTAACCCTTTGCCTCCTGGTGTCTCGAGCTGGCTGAGTTTCTTCTTTTTCTCTCTCTCTCTGTTTCTGTCCCTCCCCCTCTTTTCCTCTTACTGAGAAATGTATGTTTCTGGGAAGTACTATGCAGTCCTTACACACAACCCTACAAACATACACACCACCTCCTATAAAGTAACAAAAGCTGTAAGAACATTCATTTAAATCAGTTAAGAGTCTTTTCTAAGACATTGAAGTCTTACCGAGGCCTGAAGCTGAGTTTAATCAGATAAACCTGGCACCGCTGCATTTTTAGAGCTTTATGTGTAGTTGCTTCGAAGTGATGAGTTTCTGAAATGAAATGCAATGCAATGCCCGTTTAGGCTACTTTAAGATGCTTTAAGGGACATATTCCGTTACTTTTCCTGCCAGAATGTCCTGAAAATATTCCAGCGAACACATGTCACAATACAGCAGGGAAATGTCTGGAAAATTCACAGCAAACAAGTGGATATGTTGACAATGTTTGTAACATGCAATATATATAAAAAAATTTAAAAAGTGGAGCATAAAAAAAAAAAAATCCAAATATAAGCGAGCGATGAAGGCCGCCACCTTTGTTGATTGGCCCTGGTCATTGGCAATTGAACTGCTGGTTTAGTTGCTGGAGGTTTTATTTAAATATTGTTTTAACAATTTTAATATTGTTGCAGCTGTTTTTGTCGAGCACGCCATATGTCTCACCAGATACCATATATGCTAATTCTAACTGGTCCTTTAAAGGCTGTAGGATTGGTGCTTGTGTTTTTATCTATACTTGTATCTGTTTGTCTCTTAATCACTGTACATTCAAATGTGAACTCTCCGGTTACAGATATGAGGCTTTGTTACTAGTAGAAGTGCATCATTGCTGACACACACAGGAACGTGCATCTCCACACACACCTCATCACTGTCAACCACCTGCTGTGCCAGTCTCAGTATTAATCGCTGGAGCAGAGGGAGGAAGGGTGTCCAAGGAGAGAGGGAGGGGAATCCTCTTTACTTACTGTTCACATGCGTTTTCATGAGGCTGTATCATATTAATGCAAGTGTTTGATTAACTGAGCGGATGAGTGAGCGATAGTGTATCGTGTCCAGAAGAGAGATGGCCCGCTGAGATGCTGCTGTCATCTTGACTTCCCACTGGAAGCTGTGACAGAGACGCTGTCAAAATCTGCCCGATAGGGAGCGGGAACTTTTCTCTTTCTGAACCATCAATGTCTGACACATTTTTCAGTGAAGACTAAAATGAAGAAGCTGTTCACAAATTTGGGATTTGCATTGCTTTTTGGGCAGTATCAGTTCCCCTCATACCTACAGGAAACAAAGCTAGAAATCCCTCAGTTGGTCAGATGTTGTAATCGTAATAACTGACTTAACAGGTGAGCTGATGAAGAGGCCTGTTGACTGGAGACTGACCAATTATCTATTATCTGTTGGCTGATAACAACTGACTAACTCTGATACTGCTGAACATGTCGGGTTGGGCATCAACGATTATGTGAATCTATGTACTGATCCAGTACCACATCTTTCAAGTCTATTATTTTCACCCAGATAAAATTGCAATTTTCTCTCCCAGAAGTCGCTTCTTCTTCGCTGCTTCAAAAAAGCAGTTGCACTTAACTGCCACTGGCAAGTAGTGTTGGTAGAGCGATGAAGAAGTGATTATTGGTATCATACCAGAGCTATAGCGAAAATGTCAGCAATGTCACTTCCATACAGGGTTAGTAGCATTCATCTGTTAGAATGAAATGTTTAAGACCAGGTATCGGAATCAGATCAGGAAGGGAAGAATGGTTCCTGTTGCTGAGACAAACATTTGTTAAAGGATGCTGAAAAATCACCTGGTGTTCTTGGTTGCAGTAGAAATGCTCAAACACTCATCACAGGATACAGTTTCTGTTCTTCTGCACTTCTTTCCCTTCTGGTCCTATTGACACAGAAAAGTTCTGCATGTGGCCTGATATTGTGGAAGGTGGCACATTCACACTAACCTGCTCTAATCTGTATGGAACGATTCCATTTGGATTCATATGTGGAGATGATGTTCTCATCTACTTCCACACTTTCAATCAGCAGCCTGTCAAACACATACTGCACATTATCCACTCATAATACAGGGATTTAAGCAAAACATTAAAAAATATATATATATAAACAAAACAACAACTTCTCAATATGATCAACTTTTCTTTTCTTTTTATAGAAATGTATGCTCCTCATTCCAAGTTACCACCGTCCCCATGCTAATAAATTAACACATCCAAAGTATAAAAACACTAAACAAGATCCAAACAAACTGGTATGATGCTAAAACAAAACCAAGCGGGCATTGGTCCAGAGGATGCTCATCCTACATTGGAACTTTGATGTAACAGTAAAGTTTTTCTACCTAGAAATATAACAGTATGATATGATAGTAGTTTTTCAGGTAACAGACACAAACAGTATCGATAAGCAGATGCTTTGTCCTTAATCTAGAGTCTATGGGCCCAACACATAAACTTAACAGTTTATATTGAATGAAAAAAAATTCCAGTGTGAGTTCGATGTGTGTTGTCAGCTTCACCTTCCACACTACTATTCAAATAATAGGAAGTCAGTCAGTCACAAGTCTGGCAAAAGTGCATGCCATGTTTTAGAGTCTAAGAAAGATGGAGGGGGATTTTTCTCCTATTTCCACTCACCAGCAAAGGTCTCCTCATGCTTTCCACACTTCCTTACCATTCCCATTTGCCCTCCCTCCGTTCTGCCTGCTTGCGTTTGTTTTCAGGAGGATACAGTTTTCTAGCTGCTCCAGCAAACTGAAAAATTCGCTCCCACCACATCCCTGCACCCCACCTCTCATTCTTTTCCACCCTCAAATCTTTGTTTCCTCTCATTTTCATCACTTAAGTTTCTGAAGCCATGCAGCAGAAAGGGCCAGCAAACTGGAGAAAAACACACAGATAAGCTAAGGGAGGCTCTTGTGGAATTTTCTATCTCGATTCACTTGAATTTCATGACCATCGCTCATTCCACCACGAAAACAAATACATAAATGTGTTCTGGTATGTACACAAAACTTTTAGTCGTATAGCCTGATAGCAGTAAACTGCAGGCAATACTTTTACTACTCTACATTATTTTTTGTGTAGCACCTGTTGAGAATTTTACCTCACCCTCTCATACCCCAGCCTCTTGTCTTCTCACCATCTCCTTTCCTTTTTTCCTCACATCTTACATTTCAGATGGCAGCTCTACAGAGCCCGTTCTATGGGGATAAGATGAACCTTTACTCCCTTTGTAAGAAGATAGAACAGTGTGACTACCCTCCTCTTCCCTCAGATCACTACTCAGAGGAGGTGAGTACCGTCTCAGTTGCCTTTTCCTGCCGTGGACCTGCTCAATGTTTTTAAAAGAGCTCACAATCGTCTCTTCTCCTTTAAAAGAAACTGTAGAAATATTTTCTATTTTTAAACACTCTACTGCTTTAAGCAATAGTGGCCCATTCCTCTTTCTCTGTGGTGGTTTGCTGATTTTTACTTCTACTGACCAAATTTATTTTCTTATATGTAAGTGTAATCCACCCAACTGTCTGAACCATGATATTACTCTGTGATCAAAAGGCCGGCTATGATTTTAAAATTAAATGCACATATCAAAAGCATCTGGCCGTGCTACAGAGTGAGGTGAAACTAAATGGGCTGGAGAGTCATGTTTCCCTAAACTAAATGTTAAATCATCTGCTGTAATTCTACGTTGACTTATCCGTGCACCAAAAAATGTAATTTAGTCGGGCTGCGGTCAAATGTTGTCTTATTGGTGATTGCTGGTGACATGTGTTTGAGTGCGTATGGCTTTGTGTTGCATGTCCTGTTTGTGTGGGTGGCATTTCTTTTCTCTTACATACAGTATATTAAGACACACACACACACACAGTCATGTCTCTATGACATCAGAGGACATTACTTTGACTTACATTGATTTCCTTAACCTGCACCCTAACCTAACTTTAAAATATGTCTTCACTTGCTTCCCCAGAATGAAAATAAGTCCCCATTGTGTGTGTAAACAGATTTAAGTCCCAACAACTGGAGTATAACCTGGACCTCTCACACACACACACACACACACAAACATTTGCACAGATATTGTATGGACTTTGACATTAGGGATTTTTATACTACTGTTATCATAGTAGTACAGTCCAAAACCTATATTTATTTTACAGTGACTTAAAATAGAGAAAAAAGAGCAAAACTTCACATTTGAAAGACACAAACTAGAAAATGATTCTTAAAGTAAAAGTTCTTAACAACACTGAAGTCCTCGGACTATTGCCATGTACTTTACTTGTGTAATCCGTTACAAGTATGTATTACTTTTGGTCATATTGAGGTTTCATTTTGGATGTATTAGTTTTAAATTAATGGAAACTTACTCAGAGAAAAAATAAATTGTGTCCTTGCCTTCCTCACATCTATGATCTGGACTAACACAGTCCATACTGTGTCCTATGATCCGGACTTACACAGTGTGTCCTATGAAGTGACTATCTGGGGTCAGACACTACACCCTGTAGAGCCCGACTGTTATAATATAATACTCTCTCATTAGGCTGATAGAGGCTAATTGTAAAGTGGTTCAAACCTCCTCAGTGTCTGATGTGTATTTTTATGTATGCAACAGATATTGTGCAAATTTATATTTGTTACTGAAGCACACACACACACCACAGTGAGCTTCTGTGTTGCCCCACATGTCACCCCCATCCAGCAGAAAGGGAGACAAAGCGAAAGAGAGAGGGAATGATAGAGCGGGAGACAGGGCGATGGAGAGATGGAGATGAGGGGGGTGCCTGCAGCGCCTGTCTGGATGTAAACAATGCTCCTGAAGGATCGGCAGCAAACTGTCAGCTGCTCATCTTTGTTGTGTCATTTAACCATCTCCATCTATGCTCCCCCCCACGCCTCCCTTCACTCGCTCCCCGTCCCTCCCCTCCCTCCACCTGACACTCCCCCACTCCACTCGCCATGCAAAGAAGCACATGAATATTTTACATATCTACCCCCCCCCCCCCCACCACCACCATTGCCATTCTGTGGGACTAATTCTCAGACTGTCTGAATTTGCATGTTTCTCTCACTTTCTCACTCAAGCACACACACACACACACACACACACACACACACACACACACACACACACACGTGTACAGCGGCTGACGAGAACCCATCCAAGCTGGTGCCATGCAACAACGGCCGTTGGTAGACGGTTACCATAGCGACCTCGCGTAGAATTTATGTTTTTTTTTTCCTCTTTCCTCTCCATCTTTTATTCTCTTCTTTTTTTAATGATGGCGGTGGCTGTTCCGCCAGCAAGCCTGTCTATCTATCTGCTCCAATCAGCCGCTTCGCTCAGCTTCAAGTACCGTTTCTGGATGGCAATGGAGTGGCAGCAGTGTTTGTGTGTGCGTGTGTGCATGTACATTTGCGGGCAGATGTGCATCATGGGCTCTTGTACAAATGGATTCAGCAGACCAATAAGGGATTAGTGCTCTTACCCATCCTCACGTCTTTGTCTCAGTTACCTGTTGCTAATGAGAAAATTAGGTCTGTTCATTTGTGGATCTGCTCTTTTAAAATCTGTTTCATTACTGTCATTGACTATATTATCTCTCTCTACCTTCCAACCAACACCCCACCTGTCTATCTCTCACCAGCTGAGGAACTTGGTAGATATGTGCATCAACCCCGACCCAGAGAAGAGGCCGGACATCGCCTACGTGTACGACATTGCCAAACAAATGCAGAACCATACACAGGGCAGCTAAGCCCACAGTTACACACCTGATCGCTTTGCAGAACTTGTCCCAACACCCCTCCCCTCGCTTTTCATGCTGGACTTGTACACATCTATCAGCTTTTATACAATAACTTACTCCAGAGTTTAGCTCCCTGTGATAAGTAGAACGTGAAACTGATTTTTATTTCCAAGGTGATGCTACAGTCTACGACACCACTGACTCCCAAACCATTTCTTCCCTGCGATAAAGATTATAGAGATTATAATGTTTTGTCACATGGACCTCCCATTCCTTAGACTTCGAAGTTACAGCACTGAAAATCAGTGTGTTGTAGCTCATTGATGTGTTTGTTGCTGTGGCTTAAAATAAGCATGTCCATTGTATTTTCATGTAGGGAAATATAGCCATTCTTCAGAAGATTCTGTTTAAAGCACATATACTAGAAAATGTTCAAATTAGAAAACATGAGTGTATTTTTCAGTGTTGCTTGATGTCCTCAAAGCAATTCATCAACGCAAAGATCATTAAAAAATAGTCTCATGTGACCTGTGGTCAACAAGTGGCACAAAAAAAAAAGACCATGAAAACTTTTTAGAACAACGGTAACTCTGAAGTGAATAGATTTTCAATCAACTGCAGCAGAAGTGAGAGACGTAAAGAGCGTTATTGATGGTTTGAAGTGTTGTTGTGTTGCACTTTTTCAAATCCTGGTGAAAGACGGCTGGCAAGGTGATCACGTCTAATGAATGCATCAGGAAAGGAAAGATCATCTGCAGGGTAGACTGGAGATGTGCTGGGGGAAGAACATGGGCAAATGTCTCCACAACACTTTTGAATGTAAGTCATGTTGACACCTATGTATTGTCTTTGAAAAATTCAGAGTGTGTCTTTTTCTTGACTGCCTGGAGGGATGTGGTAGAAACTGTAACACAAGCAGTTTTACATCTGCTGTTTACCTTCGTCACCGACACCAAAATATCTCCTCCCCGCTGCAGCTTTAGCAACGTATACTGTTATTACATAGCGTCAGGTAAAAAAACCAGTTAAAACACATAGTTCTCCATCATGGTCCAGTGGATCTGTTTGACCCACCAGCTTGTTAATGTTGCTGTGTCAGTTTGCAGTGTTGTTAAGTAACTAATGTGTTGAAAGAGAATGACAGTGCGCCTCCATATTTTCTGTTGAGATACCAAAGAGGGAAGTCACACATGAAGAGAGCAGTTTCTATATAGTTACAGTATATTGAGATCTCTTTCATGAGAAGTATATCAGACAGTAAAACACAAATAAAACAAGCACCAATAAGGTTCATTTCTTACTGTACATAGTGAAGAGGTTCCTATAGTTTTAATACTGAAGGGTTTTACTGACCCTTTATTCATTTGGAGGGAAGGTGATTTGTTTTTCTTGTAACAGGATAAGGTTTACTCCAGTGGGTCACAAAAGACCAACACTGACTTCCACCAGTTTACATAATGACAGTGATACCACATGGAAGGTATAGCACGTAAACAATAATTGGTAACGCTTTATTTCAGTGTCTTATGAATTTGTCTTTTCACATGATCAAATTGCCTGTTAACTGCTCGGTTGGATTATCGCTCGTGTTCTTCATGTTTTAGTTTTCCTTGTTTTGTTTTTTTTAGTTAACATTTAATACTATTAACATGTGTTAAATACAAAATCAAAGCTTGTAGGAGCAAGAAAATAAGTTATTTTATTGTGGTTAACAGAATGTTTTGATAGTGTCTTGCTACTCGGTATATTTTCTGAGACGTGCAAATACAGTGTTTGCAATTTTTGTTTGCGATTGTCTTTAATGTTGCTCCTTTCTCTTCCATTGCAATCATTTCTTTTTGTCAAATATGAATAACTACCTTGATTGTTAATCCTCTTCTCCCTCAATGCTGTTTACCCTCTATCTCTCTCTCTCTCTCTCGCTCTTAACTCTCTTAACAAGCACATCTCTATTGCTCCAAAAACCTTTCAGTATTGTTGTAATTTCAGGGGAGCAATTGCTTTAAAGCACTTTCCACATGTTTTAGTTGCTATGCAGAATTCCCTCAATAAATTGGTTATATTTTACAGCAAAATACCAAAAATGAATTCTCCGGTGGTCGATGGGGAAAAAGCCTCTGAGCTTTGACTGTATTTAACTAAAGCATCTGCCTTTCTAAGAGCTTCAACGATTTATTTACGTTTACACCCTTTTTAGAATCCAAAGCACTGTCATTGTTTTTTTAAGGATTATTATTTTATAAACCTCTGTAGGGGAGATTTTTAGGAGGATTTGAGGATATTACACACCAAAACCCAGTTTCTGTGTATCTGTGTGTACATGTAAGTCACATTAAAACTTTGTCTATGTCTTAGGGAGTGTTTTTTTTTTTTTGTCTTTATGAAACATGACAGTGCTCTCCTGTGTCCCGGCTTTTAATTAACCTTGGCTCACCTTCCTTTTCTGCACACTCCAGAGAGTCCAGGCGTTTTCCAGAAAGTGAAATATTAAATGTTAAGATTAATATTTATTGTTCTGGTAGTCTGACTGTTTTCTGAACATTTCATGTCAAAAAATAGACCATCATCACAAATGCCTTGTATGCTAACTAAGATGCAATAAAGCTTTGAAATTTCTCTTGGACATCGGAGTGAGTGCTTGGAGCTCTTGGAGGTTTTTAATTGGTCTCATCTGATCAAACCAACTTTTTAAACTCATTGTAAACATACAGCAGCTTAATGTGATGTAGATTCACATTAATTCACATTTTCTCCAACGCAGCATGAGAAACAACATAATCCTCATTGATAGGATTATGAGTTTAATTAGTTTGTTACTGTACAACACTGGTGAAACAAATACAAATACACAGTAACCAAACCTGGTTTGGAGCTTAGATACTTTTTGATTCTTGTTTGACGTCAACACTTTGTCTATTTTTTATGATTTCAGGGGAACATGTCACATGGTTTTTAACACCTGTGATGAGTAAACAGGTCTTAACAGAATGAAGCTGACAGGTTTGTGCCCACAAGCTCATGAAATCTATAATTACTGTAAACATACACGTGTATGTTCCCTGTGCATGGTCTCAATACGTTGTAATGTCAAATGTGTGATGTATGACATTTTGGAGGAGGTGGCCATGAAGAGAGGAGTCTGAGGTGAAGATATGCAAACAGAATAATAAGAATTAATTACCATCTTCACGTCTGACCCGTCAGAAGTCAGAGACACATCGCAGCTTTTATTCAAGTCATGAATGAGTGATGTGTAACATGATGAAAAAAACAAAGTAAACAGTTAAAATTACGTTTCTATACAATAACAGTATAACAGCCACATACTGAAATATGTTATAAATATATGAACATAGCAGAATACAAACACATGAACTATTCACAGACAGCAAATTAGTTTTCTGCCAAATGATTTAAATCTTGAAATAGGACATTTTTTTACTTTTTTATTTTGTTCAGGTACTCTGGACACTTTGTTGAGGTTCAGAAAATATACTTTAATGCAAAAAAAAAAAAAAGTTCACAGCTTCAAACGCAGCATTCTTTTGATGTGTGTAGGATTTAGTGGCCTCTAGTGTTGAAGTTACATATTGCAATCCACTGAGAACCACCTCTCATGCTCCCTTTAAAAGCTTGTAGCAGAAAGAAGAACATCTCTTCAGTCGGTTTGGTTCGGTCAGAATCATGGTGTTGCATCATGACGGAGATGGAAACGGTTCATTCCAAGCTAATGAACAAATGATTCATGGACTGGATGAAAGCCTGAGTCTCTGGTTTGAAACTCAGGCTGTGACCTCTGCACAGCATTTTTTCTTTTGGATTGTACTTTTCTGTTTCTAAAACAAGTTTAATCGCTCCGAGATTGAATTACAAGATTTAGATTTGAGACATTAAAGGGATAGCTCACCGAAAAATGCACTCATTATCCACTCACCGCTGTGCCGATGGAGCGATGGGTGAAAGTGTTTGAAACAAACACTTCTGGAGTTTAAGGGGTAAACTTTGTTGCAGCCGAATCCGTTTTTCGGTGAACTATCCCTTTAAACATGCAGCAGGTAAACATTTTCCTTCTCTCTCTCTGTTAACTCTTTCCTGTTTTAACTGTAAAAGTAAAGTTGCAGTAAAGTCGCTGCAGTATCCATCGATAAATACACAAAAGAACCCACAGTCTCTTTTCTCCGAGTGTAAACAAAGAAAACATTCTGCTGTTTGCTCCAGAAGGGAATTTTCTCATTTGCGTGGTTTCATTAATTTCGACTGTGTTGTTAGTGTGTTTGAGGTCATTACGTGAGTGTTTACGTTCTCCTTCCTCCCAAGTGTTCCCCAGAGGACACCCCCCCTCCTCCCGTCACACCCTCACTCCATTCAGTATAGGTTTCATTTACTCCACCCACCAAACTAACCCGTCCCTCTGGGACCTCTGAATCCCTCTTGGCCGGGGAGCAGTGGGGGTGGGCACCGGTTTCTCTCCCTGTAATGAACTCCACGGGGACGGCTGCTCAGTTTCATCACGGTAAAAATTGCTCCCATGGAGCCGTGAACACAGTGAAAACAAACAAAAGTAAATATCTGGGATTAATACATAAGTTGTTTGGTGCTTCTCAGCATCGATGGCCGCGCCCCCAAGGCCTGAAAGTATACAGATATTTATATATATCTAGAAACTGGCTCTGCATTGTGGGTGTAATGATAAAAAAAGTTAGGGAGCATTCAGATATTTTTTCCTGTTGTTTACTATACATCCCAAATCCATTCACACCCAAGTCCATCTTGTGGTGAAAAGTCTTCACTGCAGTTTTCTTCCCCGCTGAGTCCTATTAATACATAAATATTTCTATTTAATTTATTTATAAATAGCACATACAAATATATTAGTCCTCCTCATTCATCCATCAAGCTGTACTAGAGACGAAATGAAAGATTAACGTTGCTTTTTTATATTTATCCAACCTTGTATTTTCCCCCGGAGTAAATATACTAACACAACAATGGACGTAAAGTATGAAAAAATGAATGAACTAGATTTAACATGTGAAAATGAACCTTCAGTGTTCTGAACCTGTTTAGTTCATCGACTGATATTCTTGGAGGTGAAATGTGTAACCAAAGTCCCTGTGCTTTTAATGCTCACACTTGAACTTCACACACACTCGTACTTCAAATAGGGTTTGAGCAGAAATACATCAGGATCCTATAAGTGTGTGTGTGTGTGTGTGTAGATTAAAGACAGTGCAGAATATTCTCTGAGCTCATCATTTGTCCCAGGTGATCTGTCTGTTCTGAGGCGTAGAAATGGGGCCATTCCAGAGGACATTGACTTGGATTTTTTTTTTTTTTCCTTTTTTCCCCCGTTTGTTTGTTTTGTTTTTAGAAGCCGGGAATATCAATATTTTTGCACATTTGAAATAGCTTGTGGCGCATCCTTGGCGATGGCAGCCCGAGCTTCAAACATATTAGTTTGCTGGGAGAGCAGAATCACCAGGGACAGTCTCCAAACACGAGCGGGAACAGCAGCACAGTCCTGTTCATCATTTGAAAGCTGCTATTGTTTGAACTTGAGTAACTTTAAACAGGTTAAACTCATATTTAGAATGAAACAGTTGTCTTGTAGGCCTCGCTCCGTTTTCAGGTTAGATTATTTGTCAGCCGCCGCTCTCCGGGGAGAACATGGTGAGGTTCAGGTAAAGAAAGACGGTGCCTGCAGTCATTTATCAGTTGGAAGCTACACCCAGCAGGCCGCAACTGGCGTCACTCATCAGCACCGCTCCTGACACACTAACATGTGAAGGCAGGCACACGCACGCTAAACACCACACATAATAAGCGTGTGTACACACACAAAACACTGGTGTAATGAGCGACTCTTACTCTGCATGTCCTACATCTGCAACCGCCAGGCCAGCACAGAGGGGGAACAGTAAAGTACAAGCAGCCTGCAGTGAGCAGAGCCAAAATAAAAAGCCGAGTGGCTCACTAAACCCGTCAGGGGCTCTTAAAAAGGCACGCACAGCCTCTCCCTGGTCCGTCCAGCGGCCTTACAGGAGGTTTGTAAAACAACGTCCCTGAAAACTAAAGTGGGACGCACCGGCCCGGCCTTCCGGAACGGGTGTTTTCACAAACCGTAAACTACTGGAAGCAAATGTCGTCTTTAAAATTTGTTCAAAAGAAACGTGATCCTCAGAGGAAGGCTTTACAGGTGGCTGGGGGTGTGTCAGATGTAGACAGGCCTCGCCAGCACACACACACACACACACACACACACTCACACACTCTGCTGGTTTTTACTTCCTGTGTGAGACCCAAGTCACTCCACCTCTTTCCCTACAGTGTTGAGCAGACTACAGCCTGTAAAGAAGTTCTGTCTGTCTGTCTGCCTGTCTGTCTGTCTGTCTGTCTGTCTGTGTGTGTGTGTGTGTGTGTGTGTGTGTGTGATGGAGTATGTAAATGTCCACGGTGCAACATGATACACAAACTCAAAAACATGATCATAATAATATTTGATTTTAAAATGACATTTGAATGTTGCTTTATTTCTCGAGGATAAAATCAGTGCATCAATAAACGCAGTGAGCTTCCAGTAAAAACCATAAAATCAAATTTCTTCTTTAAACAAATCAATGAATTCATCCAGTTCTGGAGGAAGTGATTTCATGATGTAGAGTCCATCATTTATCAGATATTAAGATCCTGCTGACGACACGCTGCTTCAAAACCCAGTTTTATTTTGACACCAACAGTGTCTCAGTCAAACTCTATCTTGTGTTCTCGGACAAAACTCTGACACTTTCTTTTTTTTTTTATTCCTTTTTTATTTTTGCGATAAACATCAGGCAGGTTTTATGTCCTCCTAAGTCTCCTTTACTTCAACCGTATGCCAGACTTCCGAAAGGATTTCCCTCACTGTCACAGGCACATGTGCTCGGCTCCAGTAAAATAAGCGCTCTGGCCATAAACTTGCCAATGAGCTGTCCCCAAATAACCACATCTGTCAGCTCAACTTAAACAGGCCCTAAAGAGTCACTTTTAAAGATGAAGGGAGCTCGCCGGCTGCACACAGACGCAGTCACAGGAAATTCTTATCTCTGCCGTGAAAAGGAGAAAAGTAGACATCACAGGAAACGATCAGCTCTTTCCTCAAGACGAGGAAAATTACACTTCTGGTCTTTAAAACCAGGGTTCAGAAATACTTTTTCAAATTAAAATGTTCTTTCTTCGTTCTTTAGCTGAAACAAACGAACTGATTAAAGGTGCTGTCTGAATCCATCTGTCATGAAAAATTATATAATACCTCCAATTCTCTCTAATTACTGCGCCACGAGGTACTGGCTCCTTTTCTTTTATTACAAGTTAAATTTAACCATCATGCACATAAGTTGAGCTCGGAGGCAGATCTCTCACCTCATAACAGTAAAACAGGACGATAAACTGATTGCAGGTCACGCAGGTTGAATCTCGGGGATGATTTAAGCGCAGCGGGCGTGAGGTGAGCCGAGGCCCAGTGATGTTGTACCTGGCTGTCCCATAATTCCTTGTTCCCACGGTCTGATCCCCCGCCGCCTAACGACACTGACTTGTACCTCGTCTAAATCCGTCTAAAGCTCTTTAAAGGTTCTGTG